AGTCACTCAAGTCATCATACGTCACTGTGGTCGAAGGGAAAATCCCATGCTCAACCATCTCATCGCCGTCGCCGTGGATGAAGGCCGAAGATGGCACATCATCACTCTCACCTCCTAAGATGGAAGCATCATCCTTGCTCGTCACCATGTCGCTCGCCTCCAAAGCTTGGTCTTTGATGGTCACCGTAGTCGTACTCGTCGCCGCACTATCTTGAAAAAGAGTCGAAGTAGACTCGACATCATCAATGCCACAAAAAGGGATGGCGGTGAAGTCGAACTTGGGAGCATCATCTTGGAGCTCGTCGGTCTTGGACATCGTGGTGGTACTTACCTCATGCTCATTCTCATGGAGCTTGGTCGTCGCGAAGTGAGCTTGGGGTGGAGAAGCTTTGGCCTTCATGAGTTCTTGTTCCGCCTTGAGAGCACCAATGTAGTTGTCGTCGAGGGACTTGTAGTTCTCGAGGAAGATCGTCTTGGAGATGTCATTGTGCAATTCCATCATGAAGTGGAACTTCATCGAAATGGGGTCGTCCACGTCGGCTTGTTGCAAGGCTTTCTTCATCTCCTTGAAGTACTCATCGATGGACTTGGATCCTTGGGTGGTGTTCTCCAATTGGCGTAGAAGTTGTTCCGTGTAGGTTGGAGGCACAAACTCTCGCCACAAAGCTCTCTACGTCTTGGGCCAACTCATGTCATAGCTCTCCGAAGGTGTGTGAAGCCACCTAATCGTGGAAGTTCATTGTGGTGCACTTCACTTGATCTTCGGGAGGAACTTGAAGTAGCTTGAGGTAGTCGTCCATGAGGCGCTCCCACACAAGATACTCCTCGGGTTGTTGAGTCCCATAGAAAGAAATCTTGTGATCGGTGTCGAGGTCGTAGTAGCTCGTGGGAGTCACGGACTTGAGCTTGGGGAGCTTCTCTTGAGTGTAGTCTTGAGGTGCTTGTTGGCAAAGATGCCATATGTCCCTAGGCGAAGATGCCAAGGGAGATGGTGAAGACGTTGAGCGGTTGTTGGTGTTGAGTTCTTGACATTCACGTTCTTGTTGGTGAGGATGTCGATGCCGATGTGACCTTGCCGGAGATGGTAGCTCGAAAGCATGTGTACTTGAGCGTATTCTCGAAGATGATGAAGATCTCTTGTAGGACTTGATGAGGGCTTTGATCTCATCCATTTGAGCTTGCACCTTGGCGTTGGTAGAATTATTCATGGCATCGAACTCGTCGTTGTTGTTGTAGACCGAAGGTAAAATGCCTTGCCTATCCATCACAAGACTCGAGTAGAGGTGAGTAGTAAATGAGATAAACAATACCAAGTTTCCTTTTCCCAAAGTTGAGAATGTATCGCGTTTCATTCAATGTGAGATGAAAGAATAGTGGAATTGGTACCGGACTTGTTCACTCACACCTACAAACTAAAGCTTATGGAGTAGCTCGGTGAGGATAGTGGCACAAAAATTTAATGCAAAATGTTAGCAAGAGTCAATAATGTTGAAAGAGATTCACAAATTCGCAAGTGGAACAAGTAGACCAATAGCAATATATAGCACACGGAAACACACACACGGATAGATAAATGGGGTCGTGCAACAAAGGAATGAGCTCAAAATATGGAATCCACGAAAATGCTCTTGTTGCACAACTCTAGAGAGACGCTAGCATGATTGCTCAATAGGCGGATACGACACTTGTGCACAACCTATAGGAGACAAAAATGCAACGACTTCTATCCAAAGTATGCTATATATGTATATGATGTTCCCGGTGTTTATCTCAAGATGATCCAAGATGATCAGATATGACAATCTTATATGCAATGGGGTATGATGCTATGGCACTTGCTTACAAGCTTCTTTGCTCTTTCTCTTTTGCTTAAAAGCTTATTCTTTTTTTGTATATGGCCACAATGTGAAATGCACAAACCAAGATAGCAATTGGGTATATACGGGAACAATCTTGTGACACAAGGGATGATATGATACCAATATGATATGGTATGTATGCAATGGATGGTGTAGATCACTAATGTGCACAAGTAACGTTACCTGCAATACACAAATGGCTAGTCTCGATAGGCAAGTGACGCAAAATGGGCTAGGGGTTATCAATGCAATGGAAGGAATATACAATGGAGGGATACCACGATACCAAGATGATATGGAGGTTATCGTCCATGGCGATGATGAGTCGCGGTGTTCTTGATGTAGATACCAAGATGATGGAGAGTCGTCCCTAAGTAGCCGAAACACCTTAGGAAACGGAAAAACCGCGAACTCAAAATCTCAAATGTCAAATGTCAAATGGTGGTAGCGGGAATGCGGTGGTGGTTGCAGAAGCTCAATGGGATTGCGGAAATGCGATGATGGGATTTGAGAAGCAATGCGGAAGTGGAGGGTAAGGTGGTGGATTACACACGGTGTCGGAGTTGGAAGTACGGTCCCTAAGTAGCCGAAACACCTTAGGAGACACAACTCACAACACAAACAAAATTGGGTTAAGTTGGGGTGGCGGAAGTGTATGGTGGTCAAGTCTATGTGGAAGTTAAGGTGGTGATGGTGGTTGATGAAGAAGCAATCGTCCCTAAGTAGCTGAAACACCTTAGGAGACTCAAATCACAACTCAAACAACCTCAAATGCTAAGGGGAACAAAATGGGTTAGGTTGCAGAAGGCTATGGTGGTTTTGCGAAAGTTATGGTGGAAGCCCTAGGCAAAGATGTCAAAGTGCCAAAAATGATGGAGTCAAATGGTGTTGGAACCTATCTAGATGGATAAAGGATGCCAATAGCTTCAAAACAAGCTAAAGAATGTCAAAATCGGACTCCAGATGTGAAAGTTATGGGCAAAACAGTGAAACACAGGAGGCTGATGCTCCAGGGGTCGGACACCCGGGGTCAGGGCCTGAATATTCGGGGGCTAATGTCCAGAACCGAGCAGATTTTATGCTTCAGGAGCCGGATGCCCAGCTTGGGGTCTAGATGTCCGGCCCGACGATTTCAGATCTCGTTTGGGGCGGAAATTTTCGAATTGGGGGCGGAAATTAATAATTCCAAGGGCAAAATTGATGAGATTTCGTGGATGGAAGGTGGGGAAACTTGGGGAGATGCTAGATCCACTCAAAACTAAGCAAATCCATGGATCAAAATCAACAAAACATCATCAAAACCAACAAATCACAAAAAAATTGGGGCTATTTTTTGATGGGGATTTTCGAATTTAGGACGAAATCAACAAAATTAGGCTAGAAAACAAAGAGGGGAGGCTCCGAAATCGTGATCAACGTGGCTCATGATACCAAGATGATGTAGGGTGGAACCCTATACGGCCGATCTTTCATGAAATGAGCGGATCCCACGAAGAACATGAAGAACACGAGGGGAGAACGTAGAGAGATCACAAGGGGAAACACTCAAGAACAAGTCCAATCACACTTCCACTAGGCAATCAAACACACAACATCTATAAGGTACATGAACAACGAAGGGAAATATACAAGGTAAGGTTCATCTCCATGAGGAGGTCTTGAAGGGGGCCACCCAAGAGGGGGTCTTAAATCCAAGGGGGATCTTCTCCGAAGAGGGGCCGCGGTCTCTCTCGTGGAGTAGATCCGTAATGAATGAGCAAAGCTCTATTTCTAATGAGCTACTACTTTGCTAACCCTAACTAGAAGGAGGTGGGGGAGTATATATAGTCTAAGTGTAACACCCCGGATATGATTTACCTAATATGTAATCCAACTCTTGCCGTTTCCGGCGTTAAGTTATTATATTTTCTCGGGTCCGGGTTTTTGTCTCCGTGTGTTGTTGTCGTTGTCATGCATCTCATATAATGGCATCATGTGCATTGCATTTGCATACGTGTTCGTCTCATGCATCCGAGCATTTTCCCCGTTGTTCGTTTTGCATTCCGGCGCTCCGTTCTCCTCCGGTGGTCATTTCTACCTTCTTCTCGTGTGTGGGGATTAAACATTTCCGGATTGGACCGAGACTTGCCAAGTGGCCTTGGTTTACTAGCGATAGACCGCATGTCAAGTTTTGTATCATTTGGACTTCGTTTGATACTTCAACGGTTAACCGAGGGACCGAGAAGACCTCGTGTGTGTTGCAGCCCAACACCCCTCCAATTTGGCCCAAAATCCACCAAAATCCTCTCCATCATCTAGAGCGTTCGATCACGATCGCGTGGCCGAAAACCGCACATCGTCAAGTTTTCATACTTGTAATATTGGTCATGAGTTTAGGAGCTCGAATGTCGTGGCTCACAAGCTTGCGAAGCACGCTTTATCTCTACCAGCTGGCCGGCATGTTTGGCTAGGTCAGCCGGATGAAGTCTTTTTCATCTGTGTGAACATTATGACGGCGTAATAAAAACTTCGAATTTTGTCTAAAAAAACAAAGGAAAATATATCTTTTTTGCCCTCGCTCCTATAGCTGGCCAAATGGGCCGGTTTTTTCGGGCCGGCCCGTGAGCACGCCGGCACGGCCTGCCTTGGGCCAGGCACGGCACGGGCTAAACGGGCCAAGCCCGGCACGCGGCACGACCCAACATGTAAAAATAGGCTAAAAAACGGTCTGTGCATCAAATAATAGATTGAAATATGCGGCCCACCATGCTAAACGGGCCAACGTGCCGGCCCGTTTACTAACTGGGCCGTGCCTGGGCCTGAGGACGCAGCACGCGGGCCGGCACGGCACGGCCCGTATAGTAATCGTGCCCTGACGGGTCGTGCCGGGCCAGGCACGAGTACAAAGGGGCAGGCCGGCCCGTTTG